CTGGGACATTGCAAAAATGGTAACAAAGAGCGATAGTTGTAGGATTCGATCTCAGGGTCACATTGTTGATGTTGACCATTCCCACTAAACATGGATTTACACAATCTGCTCACGAACATTTCGCTGCATCTATATACACATGCATGCCGCAGCCAAAGTGATTTTTATAGTCAGTGAAATAACCGCCATAAACTGAAGACAAGATTGCCTATTACAGAAGACAATGCACGAAAAGAAAACATGGATCAATCACCAAGGCAATGCTAACATGACCGACAGTTCACATTGTTTGCGTATCTCGTGTTTTCTGATTCTGATTAGACAGAGTAACTTTGTGTTTATTGTGTTGCAGATGACCCAAAATGTGTGGGTTGCAGTAACACAGTGTAGTTTCTTTTCGAATAGTTATGAAATAATCGAAGATCCGTGTCTTGTCAACTTACGTTCGTTATTTAACTGGTTATAAAGAAAAATCCCCTCTACTGTAGTATGCACTTGCGCGAGGGCAGCGAACTGATCATAGACACATTGTACAAACCTACGTCTGTTACTTCTCCCTTTTGTATTTGTATTTGTATAGACCTTTGCGAGAACAGAATGTTCGCATTTCAGTCAAAAATTTACACATCTCATCAATAGAAGGAAAGATACAAGTAAAATATTTAGCCTTTAAGGTTACTGAGAAATTCTGAGGAAGCGCGCTCTCGGTTTACAAGGATTCTAGCAAGATAGGGAACTGGGGAATTTCTGTAGAGACTAATGCGAGAGGGTAATAATCGATAAGAAGAACGTGTCGACGTATGAGAGCAGCATTTAGATAAATCACCATGTAAAGGATGGTTGGGGTCAGCGAGGATTTTCTGGGCAAACGTTTCACATGCGGACAAGTGAAGTTCACACAGTTTTTTACATAGCTCATCAACGGGTATGAAAGACACATTTCCGTGTTATTGCTCACCTACTAACCCTGTGGTTACAACATGCTATTGGAGATCACTTGGGTAGTCGTTCATCACCCGAGGGATTGCATTTCCAGTCAGATTCAGCTGTTTGTCTGTCATTGAGCGAACGCGTTTCTTGGATCTTTTTATGCTCCTGTTTTTCTTCCTCGTTAGTCATCATTTCCGAGCAGTTGTCAGATCGCATCACGGAATTCGATTCATTCACTTATTCCTATTTCACCCCCACCCCCCGTCACAGGCCCAACCTTGGCGATCCAGCATGCGTGGTTCTCCGCGCAAACGCGGATTATCTCGACCGCAGTCCGGGGCACCGATGAACAAACCATCCGGTTCTGTTTCCCAACCGGGCCCCCCGACGACCGATCCGAAAACCGCTCCTGCTCTTCCGGTCCCATCCACTTCACCGGCAATTCGTGGTATCATCGGTCGACGTGGTCGTCGAGGCTCCGGTCGAGGTCGCGGTCGCTTGAGCAAACGCGCCTTATCCGTGGACACGGATCTGAGCGACAAACGAGTAAATGGTCATCAACAACGCTCGATTCCATCCGCTGATCCACCAGCTATTCGCTTGGTTATTCGGTTGGGAAAACATGTACAACAGACACAGTCCATGGAACGTGTGATTCACAACGCATCCTCGGTGTCCCCAGCCGTGACTCGTAGTCCATCTCAAAATTCCGAATCGGATCAAGAAGTGATGCGATTCACTCAGGCTTCTGCCACACGATCGGACCTGCTACTGAATGAACGAATTGCCGATGCGGATGAAGACGGAGATGATGAAGTGGTTGATCCTGGGGAAAGCGGAGCAGTGGTTGAACCGGATGATGTTGAAGACGATTTGAATTCCACCGACGAATTGCCACCATTTGAGTTTTGCACGGCCACCGAAGCAGAGACTTACATGGATCCGAACCAAGTTCGTATTCATCGAATAGTGAATCAGGCTGTCACGTCCCGATCCTCAGTTGGTGACTGTTTCCTCGGCTCGGACGACGAAGATGAAGATGATGGTGTGGTCGATACAATTCTTAAAGCAACCGCTCCGACAGATCGACTGGTATCTTCACTCGGGTTTAACGAGCATTTACCGACCAAGCAGCCGTGTTTGTCACAACCAAACACACATGTCCCGAGCGGTTCACCACAAATCAGTTACGCCCCACTCACTGCGAACAACACACCCACCCAGCTGACCGGTC